CATAAGATAAATAAATTAAAAATGTTTAAATGTTTCAAATACAAAAAAACTGTAAAACTAAATTTGATAAGTACAAATGAAAATATAGCCTTTTTAAACTTTTGCGTGGTAGAAACAGAAGCTGCTGTTTATATTAGTGACAAGCAACAGTAACAACAGATTTTTCACAAGTTTAAGGTTTCTTTAAAATACATTAAAAATATTTAAAAATAAACTACAAAAATTAAAGTGCAAATTAAAATATAGTTGTATCTGCAACTGTATTTGATAATGATTTGAACTTTTAAAATATTTCATGGTAGAAACAGAAGCTGCACTTCCTATTGGTGACAAACTTTGGTGTTTTTTGACGAGTTACTTTCATTTTTACTTCTACTTTTCATATAAAATAAGTTTCCATTTTCGGCAGGTTTCTAAGTTTCTTCTTCTACATATTAAAAAAGTTGTTAAACATCTGAGTGGCGCACTGCTGCTACTAGTGGTGAGAAAGGTTATTGCACCTTATTCAAAATCAATTCGGTCCCGTGGCCCTCTGCGGCCCAAAGTTAAAAACTGTTGTTCTTTTGGGGCCCCCAAGGTGGCGCCGCGGCCCATAGGTTAAGAATCTCTGTTTTAGAAGAAAATGTTCTTGTTGTGTAATCCTTGTCAGGTGTGCGACCGCGGAGGCGGCGTGCCGCTGCGTAAGATCGACCGCCTGTTCACCTACACGTACTCCACGGCTCCGCGGCCAAGCATCGACGGTTCTCGCGCCGCTCCTCTGGTCAGTGATGCTCGAGTGAATGTTGAAATGTTTTATTTTGGATGCTTACGTCAGAGGAAAACTCTTACGCAATCTTTTAAAGGGGTCTTGATTTTCAGGTTTTCTGAAAGGCGCGCACAGTTTCAGACTTTTCCACAGTACTGTTGCTGTTCACCTCTTTATATTAGATACAAAGTCAGTGTAATAAGTGGTTTAAGCTTTTTTTTGTTCATCCACTCAAGGGGTCTCATGTATTCAGTGTTCCTGTGCATCCTTAAAAAGACTTAAAAAAGAATTGAATTAATCAATTTAATAAATAAGGCCTTAATTAGCCTTAAAATGTTCTAAATCAATCTTTCAAAGGTCTTAAAAATGTTAACACATTGTAAGTAGGATGATTGYAATTTGTCTCAAATATTAAAATAATTGGTACATTTATCTATATATTTTTATGCCTCTCACAGCTACTTGTTTTGTGTTAAAATAAACATTTTGGTAAAATCGTTCTGTTTTTTTTTTCTTTTCTTTTCCCATTTGTGTTTATTGTGAAGTGGGTCTTAAATTTCATTTCAAGTGGCACTGAAGAGGTCTTAAAAAGTCTTAAATTTAACTCGCCTTAAGCTGTAGGAACCCTGGTATCAAAGAGTGTGCAGCTTTTATTCTAAAAGTTTGGCGTAAAGTGTAAAGGGTTTGAACCAAGGAGGTTCTATAGAACAGCTGGAGTGCRCAAAAACCAGGTGACCATGTGATCGGCTGGAGAAGCTAAAGGCTAAATCTAAACAGGCAAGGGTCTGGATTTCCCATTACTGTACATGTTGACAACAGAACAGAAAAAAAGGACTGACGATGTAGAAATCATTAAAACTATTAATAATAATATTAACACAATTATTATTAATATTTTACAGTTTATTTAATCTATCTAATGTTTTAAAT